CTTGGCCGTTCATGAAATAGGGAATGGACATTGTCGGTCCCCTCCCATGGGCACCCGATAAGGCTCAATTTATACTATTTATGGCTGACTATTTCTCTAAGTGGGTCGAAGCTCAAGAATTCGAGAAGGTCCAGGAAAAAGAAGTCATCGACTTAATTTGGGACCACATAATCTAGTACCGAAGTCTTGTGGGCATACCGTACGACCTCAAAATCTAGTATCGGGGCCAATCTGTTTTCGTTGCTCTACGGTGCCGAAGCACTAATACTGGTTGAGGTGGGGGAACCGAGCCTCAGGTTCCGCTATGCAACCGAATAATTAAATGGTGAGGCCATGAGCACGAGCCTGGAACTATTGGATGAGAGACGCGAGGTTGCCCTAGTCCGGATGGCTGCCCAGAAACAGCGGATAGAAAGATATTACAACCACAAAGCCAACCTCCGATACTTTAATGTCGGGGACTTGGTGTTAAGAAAAGTAACACTGAACACCCAGAACCCAAATAAAGGTTCATACAAACTCGAAGCAGGAAACGATCTGCAACTACCGAACAACTGGAACGTGACCCACTTAAAATGATATTACTGCTAAGGTACGATCTCATTCACTTTTTTTTACGAATTGGACTAACGCTTGCAGGCCACAACCAAAGGAGAATATATCTCTTAGGTATGAAAGCACGGTTTACACTCTTTTTTCCTTGAACCAGTTTTATCCCAAATGGATTTTTCGGAAAAGATTTTAACGAGGCAACGGTAAATCATGTTAACTTAGAGTCGAAGACCAATTTTAAATCAGAGTCAATGGTCGCATCAAGAATATCCGAGCCCTCTCAAAGATCGACCTCGAATACTGGGGGCCATCACCCTCGGGTCAAGATATAGTTAGCAAGGAAGGGAACTTTGTACTTAAACAGTCTAGGCTCGGTGGTTAGGATTTGTTGTAAGGGCCAAACGGTCAAGTGAACAGTGCCCTCATAGACCACCTCAGCCATTACACGAGTTTTTACACACTTACAATCTTGTACGTTATGCACAGAAATGAAATAAAGTTTCTACCTTGCTAATACATATTTTTTGCTTCTTAAAAGTATCGAGCCTAAGGGCTATTCCTATCCAGGAACTATCGAGCCTAAGGGCCACCCCTATCTGAGCCCAATGGGATACCCCCACTCGGGGACAGTCGTCTAAAACAACTTCGGGAGGCTCGGGTTATCGAAACCCGGAGGCACAAAGCCTATTAGGCAGTGCCTAAACCTAAAAGGCTACGACTACTTTAAAAATGGTTCGGAGACGTCCGAAACCCGTAATCAAAACATAAGGCCTTCAACGAAATTCTAAACCTGTTCAAAGGTTACCCTTGGCAAAGATATAGTCTAAAAAAATTTAAGCAAGCATCTTGGGGAAATTTCCGGTCACTCCGAGTTTCCACAAGTTTCTAGCAAAATCGCATTGAAAACAGGTCTTGTTCGGACCTCCGAAAAATGACTTATTACTACGTTTGATTCAGTGCTAAGGCATTAGAAATGTTTGCAATTGTAAAAAGGTGCTAAAGATAATAGACTTGAAAATTGCCAAAAGGGAAAATCATTATATATTCCGAAATATCTTTACAAAGGCTAATAAAAACGGCCTCAACAAAATATATGTACAAGATACAAAAAAAAAAAATCCTAAGACAGCTCCGCCTAGTCTTGACCGGAACCCGACTCATCACCACAACCATCGGGGCCTTCGGATTCTTCAGAGCCCTCGGAGCCCTCTTCACCTCGGGGTTTAGCTAGCCTCTTAGCCTCGACCTCGAATCTTTTTGCCTCTTCGATCTTGGAAGATAGGTAGAAGCCTCAGGCATGTATTTCTTCGAGGGTCTCCCTTCGAGATAGTCGCCTCACGTACTCAGCAGTAGTCTTTAGACGAGCCTCGGCTGCTTCAACATCAGCCTAGTATTGGGCCATCATCTCGTCAGCATCAGCCGAGGTTACTTTCAATTTGGACCTCATTATTTCGAGCTCCTTGCCAAGGGCATCCCGTTCAGTGATGGCCGAGCCCAGTTGAGCTTGGAGGTCCTCATTTTGTCGGGCCCGTGCATTGGCCTTCTCCTTTGCCGCCTGAAGCTGAACTTCCACCGAAGACAACTTGGCCTAGGTAGTCTCCTTCTTCGAGGCCAGTAGGTCCATCTTGTTTTTTCCACCCGTCGGCCATCACTTGGATCTCACCCATCTCCCTGCGGAGTTGGTCGATTTGGTTGATCTTCTGCTAGACCTGCGAAGTATTGTTGTTAGCCTCTGCGATCGGACCTTCATTTCTAACTTCGAAAACATTTACCTTTTCCACCAAGTCGGCATGCTCCTGCCTTACGACCGATGCCTCTTTCTGAGCCGCATCCAGCTTGCCCTAGAGGTTTTTGGCGACCCCCTTCTGTTGCTCGCTAAGAAGCTTTTAGATGTCCTTTTTTTGGGCAAGCTCCTTGATCTCGAGCTCGAGTTGATTGAATTCAACTCGGTATCGGAGGGAAATCTCGTGGTGAAGTATCGAGTACTGTAAAAAGGAAAAAAATGTAAGATACATAAAAAAACAGATAGCAATAGATAGATGGGAGGGAACGATGCCTTTCCCAGTTCTGCGCCTGCTGCGCCTTATTGAAAAGGCATGGCACGTTCACCGTATTTATTTTTGTCCCAGTACTCCTCGGTCACTGGGCATCGGAGGTAGCTAGCTGCCCCCACAGGAGTGGACAGAACCCGGGCATCCTCCTGGATGATTTGTATGATCGATCTCTTGCGACCAGGGGTCCACACTCAGAGCGGGGAACTGATTGACCAATTTTGGGCTCGAGCTCGGCCCGCCAGCTTCCGAGAAAGTTTCTTTTTTCGGGGCATCCAGGTCGCCCAGCTCGGAGCAGTCCTCCAAAGCGGATGAGTCCACACTGACGAAAAAAGAGTGAAGGGGATCCTCCGCACCCTGGGCCCCCCTCATTTTATTTCTCCTTTCTCAATTGAGCCTCCTCGAGCATAGACTCAGTATAGGAGGGCATCCCTGAGATCTCAATTACGTCGGGCGCTTCCTTTGGAGTAGAACTGACATCCTGGGAAGTTTCACCCCCGGATATCCACGTCGGTTTTTTGAGTATGAGGGGGGTCGATCTCATGAGTCTCCCCCTTGGATGCATCCCAGTCCCTGGGATAGGTCGTCCCGTGGGTTACAAAAATAGATTCATTCTCCGGCTCGTCCCTTAGCCAGAAGAGGGAGCCGGAGGCTGGCACCCAGGAACTGGAGCACCTTTTGGGCTTGCGGAGCATCCGCTTCTTTGGCTACTTCACCTCGGAGCCCGAGGGTTTTCTTTTTCTCTTCTTTTTCCCTCCGTGGAAGCAACGGAGGGATTAACGGACGGGGGCACATCTTCATCCCCTTCCGAAGGCCTAAGTTCGGTGGTCTTAGGAAAACCTGTAACAATAAAGAGGGAAGAGGAGTTAGTATAATGAAAGGTGAAGACATAGTGTTGGCTACTCGGAAAGAGGCCTTACCATGAGAATGGGCCTCCCATCGACCCTTCGAGAGTCCGCGCCATGTGCGCTCAAAGTACGACATCTGAGTACAGATGCGTGATCCAATCCTTTAACCGGGGGACCGCATTTGGAACCCGAGGGACAGCTGCACAGCCACAAGCACGAATGAGAAGATAGAAATCAAAGAAAAAGAATTTTTGATGTTGAAAGAGGGAGTTGCACTTACGAGATGCATTCCACTTCTCAGAGAATGGCATGTATTCTGGGGGATCAAACCCTCGATTTTCACGCGGACAAAGCATCCCTGCCAGTCCCGATCTCGGTCTTCGTCGATACTGGAGATGGGGCCTTGTTGGCCCTGCGGGTAAGCTTGATTAGTCCCCCTCGGAACATTAGGGGACTGTATAATCAAAGCAGGTGGTAGATCATGAACCGATGAGATTCGATCTTGTTCATGAAGTAGCGGAGGAGGGTCACAATCCTCCACAACGATGGGTGGATTTGCCCGAGGCACACCTCGTACCTCTTGCAAAATTCTAGAACGATCGGGTCTATCGGGCCCAGTGTGAAGGGATAAGTGTAAATACTTAAGTACCCCTCTATGTGGGTAGTGACGGCGTTCTCGGGCCCGGGGACTACTACATTCTTGCCTTCCCAATTACAGTCCTTACGAACTTTGGAAAGAACATCTTCAGTCACAGAACATATGTACCTCGAGACTCCTTCACCTCGGTCCTGTTTGCGTGAGGGCTTCTCGACTTTAAAGTCGTCCGCAATGGAGTAGCCCCCGGGAATGAACGCCGACAAGGGAGGCTCGGCGGCTAGTTCGTTAGCATCCATAACGGGGGAAGCCGTTTCGAGGGCAACCGCTTCAGTACCAGCAGCCGGTTAAGAAGATGAAGAGGCAACTTGTTAAGGAACGATTTTTGATGTTTTGGCCATTATCATCTAGGGGAGTGTTTGAAAAATTGAGGAAAAAACGCAAAGTTTTGGAAAAATGGGTTTTGGAGATGAAGAACAGACTATGAAGATTTGACGAAAATCTGGCAGAAATTTTGAGATTGCTATGGAAATGGAAGAACAAGGATGAAGATATGAAGGTTTGATGATGGCTAAAAGACTCGAAGGTAGTGATTTGGTCGAAAAGTATAAAAGGGACGAAAGGAGGAAGCTTTTATAGGGAAACAACCGATGCTTCACATTCGGAGGCAACCTGCCGGTGAGCGACACGTGTCCGAAGTCAGAACGACGCGATTGATGGGACGTTTCTTTATATGGTTACTGTATATAACTTAATTCATAATAAAATATACGTCTATATACTTTGAGTTGGATGGGGAGAGTAGTTTTCTTGTGTTTGTGTAATTTTCCAAAGATAAAGACAGACTATATGGGATAGAGTTAATTTTGTGCTCAACATGTATGAGAGAAGGAGTCTGTATTTTGTATTAGAATTTATACTAACCAATAAACTCCTCATAGAAAAAATAAAAGTCAGATATGTTGCTATGGAGATCATTCTTTTCTATGGATCGTAACGCTTTTTATCAGATACATTTAATTTATATTAAACTCATTCAGCCATTTCATCTACTCTATTGAATTCAAGAGAACCATTCCTTCTGTAGAACTTCAAGAACTCATCACCCACTGACACTAGAGGAAACGCAGTACATGTACAATTCATGTAACCTAAGGTTTCATTTGTATAGAAGCCTCTGACAATCTGCAAGATCATAAACAAGCACAAAACTTATTACACAGAAAATTATAAACCGAAACATGAGAAAATCAAGATAAACCATGCATTATGCATGAATCTTAAAGAGATTCAGAGATGAAAGTGATATAATCTTTCTTTCTTCTTTCTTTTAATTAACTTTGGTAAGATGGTATACAAATAAAAGATTTAAATCCAAGTGCTCGATGAAAGTAACATGAAATATAATGTCATATTTACTCTGCTTTACCGTTACCAAGATTCAATTCTAGTGGTTTTGAAGTGAATCATGGCTTTTGATCTTTAGGTGTACTTTGATACTGGTAAATCAAAATTTAGCCAGGGCAGAAAGAAAATTACCTTGTAAAGGAATAGAAGTGGTATTACATGGTGAAGTTTCTGTATACTGAATGTCCACAATCTCAATGAGCTTGTTTGCAATAGCAATTGCATACACAGTAGATCCTTCACAAATCTGCAAGATTTGATACAATTACATAGATATAATACCATAATATTGAAATGCAAAAAATGGAGATCAAATGACAACCTTGGAGTTAAACAAAAAGCTGTAACAATCGCCAATAAGTCCGCCAGCAACATGGTGAAGATCCAGTTGAAGGTCATCTAGGACCTTAGATACAAAGAGAAGACAATTGATTCTCTTCTGCTGGACAAGTTTGACAGTGACTTCATCGTCCACGATCCGGACATCAACTTCAGTATTGGTGGTCTTCCTCTGAAGCCACGAGCTTCTTAATGAAGATGGATCAACTTCATTCCTAAGCTTCACATCAGCACTATTCATGGGACCACTTTCTATGTTTTGCCTCTTGGTTCTGTCTCTGCAGCACATTTTCTTGTCCACCATAATTTTGAGCTCATTTACTGTCCTCTTCAGCTCATTGATGTACATAATAGCATCCCCCACAATTGATGCTCTATCATTCTTGCATTAACAAATATTTTGAACATGTCAAATTAGATGATCACTACTTTATCTAAGAAAATATTGGAACTCTGATGTTGGTAATGCGAGAAGCAATTTCATCTTTGCAAAGTATGATAAACAAAGCAAAAACGAGTCCAGGATTTCGCCACTGTGGGTTGGCACTATTAAGACAGTAACTTCAGGAAAACAAGCAACAATAACTGGATCAAGTAACAAGTATTAACTTTCAACATAGATATATATTTATAATCAAACAACAAATCAACATGTTTGACTAATATCAAACTTAAACTCACAAACAAATAAACAAGTGATCAATTTCAATGCTCAACACCAAATTCAAGAATCCAAATGATAATTCTGAAAGAATGAATGAATACCTTGCTGGGGTTGGGAACCAAACTTCTCAAAGCTTTGTACTTGTCATTCAAATGCGCTCTCTTTTGCCTATCAGTAGCAAAATGCTTGATCTCTTTATTGTCCCTATCTTTTGTCATACAACTCGTATCTGCAGAAAACTCAAAAATTCCATTCTCAAAAGGACATTTTCCGTCCCCTGCATCTTGGTATAAATCACCACTCACATGTATCTCCATACCATTAAAAAGAGAGCCAAAATTTGAGCTTCCCAAGCCATAGCCATGTGGCAAAGAGTGGACTAATTCTCTCAATAAAGGGGGATTTGGGGGAAGATTCAAAGGAAATAAAGAAGGATCATAGATTGCAGTTGAAGTTGAGGCACCATCTGCTGTATGTAAGTCCCTTGTGGAATCTGAATATTTATGAGTTGTGTTTGTGAAGGAAATTGAAGAAGTGTGTAAAGGAAACGTATCGGTATGCAATGGAGCTTGAAAGTGATGATCATCAAATTGATGATGGAACTGAGGAAAATTTATATCTCCCCAATTTGATTGATCAAAAGATGGTCCTTGATGACTACTGGATTCATGCACAAATTCTTGCGTTAAAGAGTTCGCAATTACGCTGTTGTTGGTATTATAACTATGTTGCATCTCAAGATTCACTTGCTGCTGAAGCTCCATTTCTTGCAAGATCAAAACAAGCACTTCCTATATATATATCTTTCTTTTAATATTCACCACACTATTTAAGTTTTCTGATTTTCTATACTTGTTGGTCTTTCCGCACAACTGTTAAATAAAAGTGAAATAGCACAAGGACATGAAGCTGTAAAAGAAAACTATAATCTCCAAGACAATATCACAGCTTCCAAAAATGTAACCGTAAAAATTTGTTTACCAAAAGACACACTTTACTTTTTAGTCTCACAAATTGCATGTTAAAAATCTTCTTTAATTGTTAACAACGTTGTGTAGGGGACCACTAGCCAGCTATTCTCTCCATGCAATTTGGGTAGTCTAACTAACCAAAACAGTCGTTACAGTTTTCAACTATACATTTATATATATGTGAAGCTAGTATATATTAGTTTTCAATAAAATTCAAAGACATAAAGAAAAAGGTGATATATCCTTAATTCCTTGCCGCTTATGATCATTTGCCTTTTAGCTGCAAGTTGCCAAATGAAATGCGAATGGAAATGCAAGGAATAAGTTTTGGATGCATAACTCATGTGAAAAATACTGAAAAGTACTAGTATTTGTTTCGCAGTCATACTATAACAGCAATAGCTTCAAATTAGGTGACAAGTTTGGAAGCCTAATTAACAAACTGTTTATGCAGTAGATGCTCAATAATCATTGGATGCTGAAATATCGAGCACACAATTCTTGTGACTGCAAACATTTGGAAGATGCAGTTAATCACAAATATAACACAAGGTATATTTTATGAAGAATCACCAAAACGAAATTATGTTTATCAAAGCTTACACAACCAAAGAGAGCTAATTTGTTTGACTAAATTAGACAAATCCTCTGACAGGGATTAATCTGCAAAACCTTGCATAATCGTGTTCTTGATAAACTAGCCACAACTCCAACCAAAAAAAAATTATAGGAAAAGACTTACGTGTTTCTTTTTCTTCTTCAAAGGTAAACGTTTACTCCTGAATTTGTCACATATTTTTCGTATACTTTGCGGGAATCCTATTACCCCTAAACTTTTCTGAAATGTCACATAGCATAGACTGTGTATTCACTCTCTTCGGTATACATGTACTTTGTAGGGATCCAATTACCCCCTAAACGTTTTTGAAATGTCACGTCGTATGAAGCGTGTATTCACTCTCTTGGACATACATGTATTTTATAGAGATCCTATTACCCCCTAAACGTTTCTGAAATGTGACATAGCGTAGAGTAGTATACGCTCTCTCGGATATATATATATGTACTTTGTACGGATCTTATTACCCCTTAAACTTTTCTAAAATGTGACCTAGTATAGAGGTGTATTCACTCTCTTGCATATACATGTACTTTGTAGGGATCCTATTACCCCCTAAACTTTTCTGAAATGTCACGTAGTATAAAGGTGTATTCAATCTCTCGGATATACATGTACTTTGTAGGGATCCTATCACCCCCCAAAAAAATTTAAAATTCACGCAACATATAGCTTGTATTCACTCTCTCAAAGAACATGAGAAGCAGTACAACAACAACAAACTAATGTAATCTCACAAGTGAGGTCTGGGGAAAGTACTACATACGCAGACCTAACCCCAACCTTGTGAAGGTAAAGAGGCTTTTTCCGATAGATCCTCGATTCAGGAAAAGCATAATCACGACATTATTAAAAAGAAATATATTAAAATAATAAGATGACCTAAGCAGAAGACAAGAAGCTTTAACAAGAAGCAACAACATGGAAATTAGGAAGCGGGAACAAGAACTAGTAACAATATTAACGACAACAACAAACTAATAAGATGACTGATGCAAAAGACATAACTGGTAGCAAGAGAAATCAAGATATAAGAGAGTATGAGGATAATAATGATACTATAGGTAAGAATAAGAAAAACGCTCTACCACCTACTAGCTTTCTACCCTAATTCTCGACCTCCATACTCTCTTTTCAAGGGTCATACCCTCGGTAAGCTGCAAATATGCTATGTCCTGCCTTATCACCTCTCTCCAATTCTTCTTTGGCTTACCTCTACCTCTCCTCAGACCAACTATACCAATCTCTCAAATCTTTTCACTGAGGCATCTGGACATCTCCTCTTTACATGTCCGAACCATCTCAGTCTCGCTTCTCACATCTTGTTCAACACTAGGGACGCTCATACCTTGTCCCGAATATCTTCATTCCTAATCTTTTCTCTCTTAGTATGACCACATCCATCTCAACATCCTCATTTTCGCTACTTTACACTTTTGGATATGAGAGCTCTTGACTGACTAATATTTTGCCCCATACAACATAGTCTGCCTAATCACCATTCTGTAGAATTTACCTTTAAGTCTTAGTGGCATATTCTTATCACACAAGACACCGGATGCGAGCCTCTGTTTCATTCACCTCGCTTCAATATATTGTGTGCATTATCATCAATCTCCTCATTATCTTGGATTATTGACCTAAGATACTTGAAACTTACTCTATTTGGGATGACTTGTGTATCAAGTCTCACTTCCACATCCTCTTCATGAATTATGTTATTGAACTTGAACTTCAAGTATTTGGTCTTTGTCCTGCTCAACCTGAAACCCTTAGACTCCAGGGTCTGTCTATAAAACTCTAGCCTTGTATTAATACCATCTCGAATCTCATCAACCAGTACTATGTCATCTACAAATATCATGCACCGTGGCACCTCCTTTTGGAGGTGACGCGTCAATTCATCCACCACCAAGGCAAAAACAAATGGGCTAAGATCTGATCCCTAGTGCAACCCCATCTCGACTGGGAAGTGACCCAATCTCCTCCCACTGTCCTTACCTAGGTCTTGGCTCCATTGTACATGTCTTTAATCACCCTAGTGTACACTAAATGTACACCTCTAGCCTCTAAGCATCTCCATAGAACTTCTCTTAGGACTTTGTCGTGTGCTTTTTCTAGGTTAATGAACACCATATGTATGTCACTCTTCCATTCCTTACTGTTTGTCACGACCCAAAATCCCAAGTGTCATGATGGTGTCTATAATGATACTAGGCAAGCCGATAACTCACACATGCCAACATCTTGAAATTTAAATTATACGAAAATAAGCTTAAGTAAGTAAAAGTCTCATAAAACTGAATAAAAACGTCATAGCTCAATATAGAATATCTCAAAACCCGGTTGTCACTGAGTACATGAGCATCTATACAAATATATAGTCTGATACACTATCCAAGAAAGTAGAACTGAATAAGTAACACTGAGGGATAGGGGAGGAGAGTCAAGGTTTGCGGAAGCCAAGACAGCTACCTCGATAATCTTCGAACGGCTGAAAACTCTGAAAATGAGTAACCACCATGTCCGGAAATACCTAGATCTACACACGAAGTGAAAGGTGTAGCGTGAGTACAACTAACTCAATAAGTAACAAGTCTAACCTTTGGACTGAAAGTAGTGACGAGTCCGAACAATACGGTCTAAATACATAATTAAATAGTACGGAATTTTTCAGAACATATGACAATAATATCTAAGAGAAACTCATAATCTATAGATACTGGTACATGAATGTAGACATACTTCCAAGTTTAACAATTAAACTCAGAACAGATAAAATATATCAAGTCTGAATGATACGAGGAATATGACATCTCTATATCTACATGCCAATATGCATATCGTATGTGATTCAATACAATGAAAGCCTCACGTACTCACACTCTCGGAGTACTCAACCTATTTGTCTCACTTCTCGCTCATCATACTCAATCACTCAACACTGTACAGGGCAGATCCATCCCAAATACAAATAAATCCAGGGCAGATCTAGCCCAAATCCAGATAAATCCATTGCAGATCTAGCCCAAATGCAAATAAATCCAGGGCAGATCCAGCTTAAATGCAAATGAATCAATAACAACTACGATCACTATGGGTGTGCAGACTCCGGAGGGGCAGATCCAGCCCAAGCACTATAATAAGCCAAATCCTGGCATGAATCAATAAAGTCTGTTGTGGCGTGCAACCCGATCCCATAAATGTCACTCACAATCAGGCCCTTGGCCTCACTCAGCCATCAATCTCTCCAGTTTCTCTGGCTCACAACACTCATGCTAAGCAGCCGAAATCAATGATACAAGATGTGATAATATACGGTAACAGAGACTGAAATATGATATGCAATAATGAATGCGACTAAGTGCATAACTGCAATTAAGCAAATAACTCAACAGCAAGGAACGACCACTATGGGTCCCAATAGTACCAGCACATATCCTAAATATGATCTCTAGCATAAATCACAACTCAAGTGCTCTAACACATAGAGTACAATAATAATATTCAGATAAGATAGCTACACAGTTCCATGGAATCGACTAAATCATAATTTCTACAGTACACGCCCACACGCCCGTCTCCTAGTATGTGCGTCACCTCAACACCAATCACATAACATGTAATTCGGGGTTTCATACCCTCAAAACCAAGTTTTGAAGTATTATTTACCTCCAACCATGAAATCTCTACTCCAACAAGTCCTTGCCTCGCGGAACAGCCTCCGAAAGCCTCGAATCTCAAGAAACCCCTCAAAATCCCTCTCAAAAATTACCTTAATCCGAGTTTGCAAAGTCCATAAATGATAAAACTCTTGGAACCCAACGTTTATATTCTGCCCAGTGCTTTTCGCACCTGCGACCAACTTACCCGCATCTGCGGTGATGAGAAGCGACAAATCCTTCGCTTCTGCGGTACTCCTGGCGATCCCGTGCTCGCACCTGCGGGTCCTTCTTCGTATCTACACTCTCGCAGGTGCAGAAATACCCTTGCACCTACACAACTCCCCCAGCTCACCCAAACTCGCTTTTGCGCCCCAAACGTTGCATCTGCGACCACGAAGGTGTGGAAAATAGCCTTGCACCTGCGACCGTTGCCCACTTCCTTCCAGTCCTCTTCTGCACTACCATCCATGCACCTGCGGCCTCGCACCTGCGGCCTCGCACCTGCGACCATGATCTCCGCAGGTGCGATTACACC